AATTATTCTAATTTATATAAAGAAATATTTTTAAAATTTAAAAGAAATAAATTAATATATAAAATCCAAAGAGTATCAAAATAATTTCAAATATCAACTTTAATAAATACGTAAAATCTTAAACTTCCAACATATATAAATGTAGCATATATATATATATATCATATAAAAAGTTAAGTGACAAAATAGAGGCCCTTAGCTTCAACTTTCAAGCTTCTCTCAAAAAGAAAAAAAAGTTTCAACTTTCAAGCTTCTTAACGCTAGCTAATTAATCCTTTAAATATTAGACTGGGCTAGGGATATTTCATGTCACAGCTAGAAAGCCTAGAACTCAGTAAGTGAGACTTTCATTTCGTGTTTCCAAACTTGGATCAAATAAATTTTCGCAAGAAAGCTAGAAAATGTACTTTCAACGGCACGCACAGGGATAGCCATTAATTAATGCAATACCACACTTTAATATAATATTGAGGCATGGAAGCTTGCATTGGATGCTAGCAGTGGCAGTAGCAATAAAACTCCTCTTTTTAAAATAATATATAAAACTATTAAAAGACAAGATATAGAGAAAGAACGTTACATCTTACACCTATAAATTTCCATCTAAACGCCACCTTTTTCAGCAAACACCCACCAAAACAACATATACAAAATGAAGGTTTCTACTTCAATAGGATCCCTTGTTCTGGTGCTCATTCTGCTTTCAACAAATTGTTTGTGTTCTGAAGCACAACAGTGTCGTCCAAGTGGCAGAATCATAGGAAAGAAGCCTCCTCCAGGAGAATTAATGCAACCAAGAGAATGATTCAGATTGTTGTGTAGAAGGCAAGATGTACACAACATACAACTGTTCTCCAGCAGTGTCAAGTCACACCAAGGCTCAACTCACACTCAATAGTTTTGAAAAGCGTGGAGATGGAGGTGGCCCTTCAGCATGTGACAACCAGTACCATTCTGATGACACACCAGTAGTTGCACTCTCCACTGGATGGTTCAACAACATGAGTAGGTGTCTCCACAACATCACCATCACTGCAAATGGGAAGAGTGTGCAGGCCATGGTGGTGGACGAGTGTGACTCCACCATGGGATGTGATCAAGACCATGATTATCAACCTCCTTGTTCCAACAACATTGTCGATGCCTCCAAGGCTGTCTGGAAAGCCTTAGGTGTGCCTCACAGTCAATGGGGTGGATTACAAATTACTTGGTCTGATGCTTAATATAATGCTATAGTACATGCCTTCTACTATCTACCTGTTCTGTGTTGTGTTCTTTTTTCTAGTGTATCATGCATTCAAATTTAAAGTAGTTATATGTATTGTCACATATATATATACCTTTATATTGTATTGTTATACATTTTTCAATTATTTTTAAAATTCAAGCCAAATTGAAAGAGCCACACTGACAATAGAACTAGGAAAAAAAAAACTGAGGGCAAACAAAAGCTTTAAGAACTTAAGTTTTATAATATATGATTGTTATATGCAAGGAATAAAGAAGATTAATAAGACGGAACGATAAATTGGAAGGCAAAAATAAAAATACAAGTGCAATGTATTTAACAATCACCTCATCAATTTTAAGTTGGTTGTTGCTCTTTGTATATTTGAAAACTCACTGATATAGATATTTCTTAGAGATTTGGCCAGGTGACTCTGTTTAGGTAAATTATGATTCAACAATGTCTAATTAAAGTAGCAATTCCATCTACGAATTTATAGGAACAATTTATATAAGTGGATCTGCCATGCCCCACTAACATGACATCCTGATATTAACTTCAAACTTAGTACACTTAGCAGAAAGTTTGATAAATAAGGAGTCGCCTTTTTTAGCAAAATCTTAACTCAACTAAATTGTTAAATAGGTCAAGAGAATGGTTAATCTATATCATAAAATAACGTAAAGAAAGAAATTCTACTTTTCCTAGTTCTTAAAGAATCTTAAGAACATTTTTGTTTCTGATAAAAACACATATACACTGTTATATAAACTTTGGTTTTCAAATAAAACGATTTGTTACAAGACGTAAATACTCGGGGAGTTTACATGTAGGTGCAAACTCGTGACTTAAGGGAGGGAATGGACGAAGGATTAAAGAGATCAAAGCAGTTCTCAAGTTTGAAGCATTTATGGCCAATATTATTTGTCCAACAAAGTTAAGGGTTTCCAAATCTGTGAACATTGTCGGGAGACAGAAAAAACAAGCTTAAAGCAACCAGAACAGAGTCATGAGTTCCATAAACATCATTAATTTTAACTTCTCTATGAATAGAATAGAATTCTTAAGCCAAGTCATTCTCCCAAAATAACAAGAAAATATTTGTAACTAATCAATCATGGTATCTACATACAGTATTGTCATTTGATTAAGTGTATGCCTTACGCAAGAACTATACACATCTATATCTGAAAGTAAATGTACAGGAATATCATTTCTTCCCTTTCTCCGGTGTTATCAATGTTGTCCATAGATGTTGGGAATTCAAACTGATGTGAACTTCTGAGTATTAATACAACAAGATCTTCTCCGACATACGAGATATAATAAAATATTTCTAGTATTAAAGAAAAGAGAGAATAGAGAAGAGTAGTGTTCATTATATATATTTGACTTTTACTAATTTCCAGTATTTATAAAAGGGATATTGATAGTTAGTTATAATTAATTATGATAATTAAAATTAATTAATTTTAAAATATTTGATCATTAAAATTAATTAAAACTATACCGGTCAAATTATATATTATTAAAATTAATATTAATTAAGTTTTAATACTAATGATTAATATAATTATTTTAAATTTAAATTCAAAATTATTTCACGATTTAATTAAACTTTTGTAATATCTCAAAATATACAATAATCTCTCACATATTTCAAAAGATTTAGAAAGAAATTTTGGATTCTTATATAGGATGTAATGCATCGGATATGGTATAGCAAACTATTAAACCAAATCTAGATTGAGAAAACGTAACAAAGTATAGTGAGTATAACAAGTTACTGAACCCAAAACACTTTATATATATTAGAGGTTAATCAATCACAATATATCCCCACAATTCTTGACGTTATCATTGTATTGTACTTTTAGGCCATGCGTATGTCCGATATTTATGAGTGTTTTAGAGATCTTGCCAAAATTTTACGCAAATGACTCTAATTGAAACTAGGTTATTTTGTCAAGTATATGTTGTAAACTATACACCACCTAAGAGATATGAAAATCATTAAAATTTATATAAGAGGTCAAACTTTCTCATAATCACATAAAACTCAACTATAAAGATTATCCTCTCATTAATGTAGCTTTAGTACTTTCTCACACCATATGAAGAAATTAAAAAATTAAAATTTCTTCAAATCAATTTTATTTCTAATAGAACTAATGAGTGACTTAATTTTCCCATTGAACCTTCATCAAATTTTCAATCACAAAGGTTAATATACTTATTATATATTATTATATTTTTATAACAGTTCGGACACACCAGAATGAGAGGGATCCATAGATTGTACAAGTATGAGATTATATAATTGAGGATGACTTAAATGAATTAATTTGTACAATCTATATTGACAACATGCATATACTTTTTGGTAGCTTATCTCATTAGAATTCTACAGTTAAGTGTGATTGATTTGAAGTAAATAGGGATGAGTGACTTTCTAAGAAGTTTCTTAGAAATTATGCAAGTAAGGATAAAATACGTTGAAATATGAGAATTGTTATATTAATAAATTTATTAAAATTAAACAGAAATTTTTTAACGGATTTATCCATTAAAATCACATAAAGATTTTCAAATAATTTCTCACGGATATATCCATCGGTAATTTTCGACGGATATATATGTCAAAAATTTTAACGTCCATCAAAATTTTTTGACAAATTAAATTGTTTTTGACGGATTTTTTTCTAACGTCCTTTTTTGCAACGAATTTGTATCCGATGAATATTCCTTTTTACCAACAAATTATATTCGTAAAAGATTTACATTTTTCCCGTAATAATATTAATAATTAATAAAATAATTATTTTAAATTTAAATTTAAATTTAATTTAAATTTAAAATAATTTTATGAATTAATTAATCTTTTAAAATATCTCAAAAATATAAACATCATATTAGTTGTGAAACTCTGAATTTTCTTTCACTTTTTCTGCAATTAAAAATTTAAGATTGGTGATGCCCACTTAGAGTTTCCTAAATCCAATTTATTGGAATCTCCTCACGAGACTCTCATCAATGGTTTGCAGAGTTAGAAGAGGATAAAAAAAGAGATACAACACTAAGATAAATCTCTCCTATATTCGTCGTACTGCCTGGACATGATATTTGAATACTTATTAATTAATGAGTTATTATGCTTCCATGAACATGGATTGCATTTACTTCCAGCAACAACTTATTGCACACACTATTACAAAAAACATATTTTATATTAATTTTTAAAAATATTTTTGTACCGTCTCGGCTTATTTCCGACTGAGTCTCTCGGCCGAGCTCCGATGAGTATACTGTCTCGGCTATTTTCCGAGTTCTTTCCCTCGAGGGTTTTTGAGCCTGATGGGGATCCGACCTTACCCTCTCCATAGTGATAGGCCGACCACGACCTCGGCCAACCCCCTCTCTCTAGATCACTCGGTCTACCCATTCGGCCAAAGCCCGATCAGTCCCTCGGAATGGAGAATCTTGACCAAGATCTTATCTATAATCCTCGCGTCCACCAAATATTTTCAAAATGATAACGGTTAAGGAAATCCCTACATTCACGGGGCCCATGAGGCCCGTAAACGAGAAACTATAAGACTAAAAACCCTAGAGTTGAGAGGGCAGATTACACTTTTGAATGCTCTGGCTTTGAGGCTTGACCTAGGAAAAAACCCTAGTGCACTCCTTGGCCGGAACATTTTGGCGCCCACCGTGGGGCTACGGTGAAACTTTTCCTACGCCCCAAGTCATACAGAAGAACTAGCACTTTATCATGGCGCAAGGCGGCAATAACAACAACGACTCACATCACCCTACCATGGAGGAGATGATGGCCATGATCAATGGCCTACGAGAGGAGAATGCACGCTCCAGGGAGAGAGAGGAGGTCATTCAACGCGAAAAAGAGGAGATCAGGAGACGAGCGGATGAGATGCAGGCCAGAATAGAAGCCACTACCAGGACGGTGGAGGAGGATTTCATGTTAGAAGTCCCTAGGGATTTTCGGCCTTTCTTGGAAGCCATAGAGGCCGAGGCCATCCCCAGGGATCATCGGATACCCCAAGTCGAGCCCTTTGATGGAACGCAAGATCCCAGTCAGCATTTGACGGATTTCCGAGCCCAAATGTTGATCTGTGGTGGAGGCATGGAAGTCCGCTGCAAACTTTTCATGGGAACACTCAAAAAGGCAGCACTTGATTGGTTTAGTGGTCTCCCTGACCGATCAATCACCGACTTCGACGTCTTCAGTAGGCTTTTCATGGCGCAATTCGCCGCCAACAAGAAGAAGCCACCGATTACATCGGACTTGTTCGATCTCAAGCAGCAGCGGGAGGAGTCGTTGAAGGACTTTATGCAAAGGTTCAATGAGGTCGCGTTGAGGATAGCATCTTTGGACGAAAGGATGGCTGTCATCGCATTCCAGAAGGGCCTGAGGTATGGAGCTTTCGACATTGCTCTGGAAAGAGCAAATTGCCAGACGATGTCGGAGGTGAGAGACTTCGCACTGAGTCATATTAAGACGGAGGAAGGACAAATTAGCAAAAGAGCCGCGGAAAGCCGAGAGGCGGGGGGCAGCAATAAGGAGGGAAATAAGCATCTTCGACCGCGATCAGACTAGAGTAAACGACGTGACCGTTACAGCTTGAAGGAGGGCAATTACAGGCAGGCCGATCATGGTGGTCGGGCAAGGGGCGAGTGGGCACGCAATAATGACGAAGAGAAGTTTACGCCACTCAATGTTCCCAGGCGACAGATACTTCACGATGTCAACAACGCATCGTTGTTCGAGTTTCCGGTGGCGACGGAACGCCAATTAGGACCCTTTAAAACTGATTGGTGTGAGTTCCATAGAGCCCATGGACACTCCACTGAAAATTGCTTCGTCCTAGGGAGGCAGATCGAGCGTTTGATCAAGGAGGGGCGACTGAAAGAGTTTGTGGCAAGGAAACAGGAAGGAAGTTCATCGAATAGGCGACACAGGCGCGCACAGGATGACACCAGGAGGGATAGGCGTAGAGAGAGAACTCCTCCCAGAGACACGCCAACGAAGGCGTCAGAAACCCACCAGCAACCCATCCACGGGGACTTCAACACCATCGCAGGGGGCTTCACCGGCGGAGGAGCTACCTCAGCCGCCCGAAAGAGGTACACTCGGTCGGTGCTGACAGTATCGAAATTCAGGCGACCATCTCAGCCTGAGATTTCGTTCTCAGACTCGGATTATGATGGAGTAGCCCCTCAAGAGGACGACCCCGTCGTCATATCAGCGATTGTTATGGGGTACAATGTGATGCGTGTGTTGATTGATCAGGGAAGTTTCGCGGACATCTTATTCTGGGAAGCTTTTAAGGGGATGAAAATACCTAACGATCGACTTATTCCTTATGCAGGGACTTTAGTGGGTTTTGCAGGAGACTAGGTCATCGCGAGGGGATATGCCGATATGGAGACGACCTTTGGCCAAGGAAAACGGTGGTCGTTCGGTATTTGGTAGTCAACGCCTAGTCATCCTACAACATCCTGATCGGAAGGCCGACCCTGAACAAGCTAGGAGCTGTGGTGTCCACTTCCCATCTGAAGGAAAAATATCTGTTGCCAAACGGCACAGTGGGAGTCCTTAGAGTAGACCAGGAGGTTTCCCGGAAGTGCTACGGGGATAGCTTAAAGGCGCGAAGGCGACTGTACTCTGCACAGGTGGAGCAGGGGGTCCACTCCGTCGAGTTAGACCCCAGAATAAGCCATTTCGATCGCCGACCAGCCCCTACCGAGGACGTTAAAGAAGTGACCGTAATGGAAGGGAAGAAGGTAAAGATTGGTACATCCCTAAGCCCGGAGGACGTAGAGAAACTGATAGAGGTATTGAAGGTGAACATATCGGCATTCGCGTGGCACGCCAAAGACATGCCAGGAGTCGACCCCGACTTCATGTGCCACAGGCTAGCCATAGACCCAGGCGCGAAACCGGTGATCCAGAAAAGGAGGAAATTCGGGGAGGAAAAACGAAAAGCCATCGCTGAAGAAACAAACAAGTTATTAATGGCAGGACACGTACGAGAGATACAATACCCAACCTGGCTTGCAAACGTAGTGATGGTACGTAAAAGCAGTGGAAAGTGGAGAATGTGCACAAATTTTACTGATTTAAATAAATCCTGCCCAAAGGATTCGTACCCTTTTCCGAATATAGATTGCCTAGTCGATGGCGCTTCGGGGTATGAACTGTTAAGTTTCATGGATGCGTACTCGGGTTACAATCAGATCCGAATGCATCCGGCAGACGAGGACAAAACCGCGTTCATCGCAGATCAAGCTAATTATTGCTACAAGAAGAATGCGGGCGCAACGTATCAGTGTTTGATGGACAAAGTGTTGGTGAACTAGCTAGGTAGGAACGTGGAAGCCTATGTGGATGACATGGTGGTGAAGTCAATGAGCCTAAATCGGCATTTAGATGATCTGCAGGAACTATTTGAGACCATAGGCAAGTTTCAGCTCAAGTTGAACCCCGAAAAGTGTTCCTTCGGGGTCCAAGCAGGAAAGTTCCTTGGTTTCCTCCTAACTCATCGTGGAATTGAAGCAAATCCCGATAAGTGCTCGGCGATCATTAATATGAGAAGTCCAGCAACGGTGAAGGAGGTGCAACAACTCGCAGGACGAATGGCATCTTCCGCCGATCTTGACGAAACCGTGGCCGAATATCCCTTTGTTGGTTTATATATCGGCTTCCGACCGAGCTGTCAGTGCGGTTCTAGTCCAAGAGCAGGAAGGCTCTCAAGTTCCTGTGTATTTCGTGAGTTGGGTCCTACAAGGAGCAGAAACGAGGTATCAGAAGATTGAGAAATTGGCTCTTGCGATACTGGTTATAGCACAAAAGTTGAGACACTATTTCCAGAGCTATGAGGTGGTAGTCCGAACTGATCATCCGATTAGGCAAGTGCTACAGAAGCCCGACCTAGCAGGAAGGATGATGAAGTGGTCGGTGGAGCTATCGGAGTATTCCATCAAGTATGAGCCGAGAGGAGCAATAAAAGCTCAAGCGCTAGCTGATTTCGTAATGGAGCTGACCTCACCTGCTGACGAGGGCAGCGTCGGGGAGACGCAATGGATCCTATCTGTGGAAGGAGCCTCAAATCTTGGAGGAAGTGGAGCAGGGATCGTTTTGGAAGGTCCGGGAGGAATTTTGTTGGAACAATCACTACGCTTCGAATTCCGAGCAAGCAACAACCAGGCCAAATACGAAGCGTTGCTAGCTGGCATGGCATTGGCAAAAGAAATGGGGGCGACGAGTTTGTCAGCGCGAAGTGACTCTCAGCTGATCACGGGGCAGGTAGCTGGCACGTTCCAGGCGAAGGACCCTCAACTGGCTAAGTACTTGGAAAAAGTCAAGCTCTTGTCGAAAAATTTCCGAGAGTTTACGCTTAACCATGTTTCGCGAGAGCAGAATTCGAGAGCAGATCTCCTCTCAAAGTTGGCAAGCACAAAGAAGCCAGGAGCCACTCGGTCGGTCATCCAAGAAACCTTAGCTCAGTCGAGTATTAATGAGCCACAGGAGAGTATCTTTTTCATCCAAGAAGAGCTCGAGTTGTGGATGGGACCCTACATTGCATACCTGACTCGGGGGGAGTTGCCAGAGGACAAAAAGGAAGCGTCGCTGATACAGAGAGAGTCAGCCAGATTTGTGGTCATCAATGAAAGGTTGTATCGAAGAGGTTTCAGCTCTCCTCTTTTAAGATGTTTGACCATGTCACAAGCGCAGAGAGTGATGGATGAAGTGCATAGCGGAATGTGTGGAAGTCACATCGGAGGCCGAGCTTTGGTATATAAGGTTGCCCGGGCAGGGTACTTTTGGCCATCCTTGAGAAACGACTGCGTCAATTGGGTCCAAAAGTGTGATGGATGCCAAAGACACGCAACCCAGCACCATTCCCCAGCTGAACGACTACATTCAATCCTATCTCCCTGGCCTTTCCACAAGTTGGGTATTGATATTCTCAGTCCATTTCCTATCGCGGTAAGGCAACTGAAATTCTTGATAGTGGTTGTAGACTACTTCGGCAAATGGATCGAGGCGGAGCCAGTTGCAACCATCTCAGCAGAGAAGGTTAGTGCGTGTCTTTGGAAGAAGGTGGTGTGCAGGGATGGTGTTCCTCAAGTGCTCGTTTCTGATAATGGGACACAGTTTGCAAGTGCGAGGGTCCGTAATTTTTGTCAAGAGGTCGGCATCCGAATGACTTTCACTTCCGTTGAACATCCCTAGTCTAACGGCCAGGCGGAGTCGGCCAACAAGGTAATTCTTTCAGGACTGAAGAAGCGTGTCCAAGACTCAGGCGCCTCATGGGTGGAGGAGCTTCCCCGAGTGTTATGGTCATACCACACAACTGTTCATTCGTCGACCCAGGACACCCCTTTCAACCTAGTGTACGGAACAGACGCCATGATCCCGATTGAAATTGTTGAACCCTCAGTACGTACTACAGCTTTTTCCGAGGAGGAATCCGACCAGGGGAGACGAGTTGACTTGGACCTGATCACAGAAACAAGGGAGAAAGCAAGGATAAATCAAGTAGCAGCCCAGAGAAGAGGGGCTTTCAAGTACAATACAAAGGTCGTCCCGAGAGACTTTGTGGTAGGAGACCTCGTTTTGAAGCGCGCTCAGTTAACTCAGATGAGGAACAAGTTGTCTCCTAAATGGGTCGGCCCCTATAAAGTTAATGATGTCGTCGGCAAAAGAGCTTACCGACTGAGGACCTTGGATGGAGGGATGATACCAAGAACGTGGAACGCTGCAAATTTACGTTTTTACTATAGCTAGTCCATTTTTCCATTTGTATTAGGTGCACTCTTTTCCTAACTCATTATTTTTTCCCCGTAAAAATAAGAGGGGTTTTTGCTGAGAAGGCTTTTAACGAGGCACCACTTTTTCAATAAATATCATCACATGTTTTTCTTTATGGCTTCTAACGTGTGTTATCTTAAAAGGAACAAACTCGTGATTGATTGGCAAAAATCCGACTGAGCGAGTATAAATAACTCGAAGACAAAACTCGTGATTGATCGGCAAAAATCCGACTGGGCGAGTATAAATAACTCGTAGACAAAACTCGTGATTGATCGGTAAAAATTCGACTAGGCGAGTATACTAACTCGAAGACAAAACTCGTGATTGATCGGTAAAAATCCGACTGGGCGAGTATAAATAACTCGAAGACCAAACTCGTAATTGATCGGTAAAAATCCGACTGGGCGAGTATAAATAACTCGAAGACACAAAAGCTCGTGATTGATCGGAAAAATCTGACTGGGCGAGTATAAATAACTCGAAGACAAAACTCGTGATTGATCGGCAAAAATCCGACTGGGCGAGTATAAATAACTCGAAGACACAAAAACTCGTGATTGATCGGCAAAAATTCGACTGGGCGAGTATAAATAACTCGAAGACAAAACTCGTGACTGATCGGCAAAAATCCGACTAGGCGAGTATAAATAACTCGGAACACAAAAACTCGTGGTAATTAACCAGAATTTTGGCGATTCGAGATAGACGAATTGGAATTTGCACGACCCGTTCATATAAGTGCGGGTCAATGCTAATTTGATAAATTTAATTCATCCTTCTCGTCGGAATTGCGGTGATTCCCCTCTTTTGAATGTTCACTATTTGATCCGGGATTGGGACGATTATTAAAACCAAAGTCCCATTCTTCAACCATGTCGGAATGGAAATTTTTCCACAATTACCTTCGAGTCGGCATTGGGCCGATCACATGGTTAAGTTGCACATGAATTAAAAAAAATCTTCCAAATTATTTCGAGTCGGCGTTGGGCCGACCACCTGAGCAAGCTCCATTTTTAACGGGAATTTTCCGTAAATAATTTTGCGTCGGCATTGGGCCGATCACGCCATTTAATTTAAAAGAAAAGTTTTCCAAGTATTTTGAGTCGGCATTGGACCGATCACATGGTTAAGTTGCACTGGAACTTAGAAAATTTTCCAAATTATTTCGAGTCGGCGTTGGGCCGATCACTTGAGTAAGCTCCACTTTTAACGGGAAATTTCCGTATATAATTTTGAGTCGGCATTGGGCCGATCACGTGTTTAAGTTTCATTTAAAATTAGGAAATTGTCCAATTATTTTAAGTCGGTTAATTGTCGATCACTTAATTTTCAATTATTCCGAGTTGGCAAGGCTACGTAAGTCCAATCGATCTTATATCGATCCCCTAGCCTATAGGAATCCACTCGGCCCGTATCCAATTCGTTTTCCCTCGGTACGAACCCGGTCGGCCAACGGCCGACCTAGCCTCTCCGCGATCATCAAGTGTTTTCCGTATAAAAAACAGCTACGAAAATCCCTAGCCTCTTCGCGATCATCAAATACCACTTTTAACTTAGAAAAAATTTATATTGTTGCACGA